CCATCCATCCATTCGCTTCCACTTATTATTTTCAGGGTCGAGGGGGCGCTGGAGCCTATCCCAGCTGTCTTAGGGTGAGAGGCGGGGTACACCTTGGACAGGTTGCCAGTCTGTCGCAGGGCCAAATTGAGTCCAATGAATCCATAGATCAAAATTTGAAATCTTTGGATCAATTGTTGTCGATGTGTGCTAAGGAGAGAGGTGTTAAAGTGTCAAAGCCAAATGTAAAACAGTAAATATGGTGGAGGAATTGTCCTAATTTTGTTTTGAAGCACACACCGAAATATGGTTCTGAGAAAACTATATTAAAACATACATCATGTTCGTGAGCAGAGAAAATAGAGACATGTGATATTTACTTTTTCATGATCCTTAGCAATGAAGGAGGAAAGTTAGAATCAAACATTTGCTATGCAAGTCACTCTCTTTGGGGAAAAAAAACATCATTTGTACAGTCACAGTGATGCAAGCAGCTACTGCCATTGCTTAAGAACACATGACTTAAATCTCTGCTGGTCCTGCATACTCAATTTCAATAACCACAGCAGCAATTTTGTCCAATAAGAATGAGTAAATAAGGTAACAGATTATATTATTGAAAAAGACAGTTTAGTCGTGTAGGAAATTCAGCTGCAAAATGTAAGATTTGTTATTGGAAATGAATAATTAATTATTTATTTTATGAACTGAATGAGTTTATCATTTTATCATCTCAATTGCTATAAAGTATCTTCAACACAGCATGATGTTTATTTTGTAAATGATGTTGCTACTTAGAGCATAAAAGATAAAGCAGGGTATTAAAGTGACGAAGAAAATGTATTTTTATCCTACGATTGACAAGTCGCTTAGGAATAGTGTTGTTATCTTTAGTCACTTTAGTGTCTCTCAATCAGTTCCACATTGCTTATTCACAGATGCTTGCAAAAGACTATTCATAGAGCCATATTTACGCACTTGAGCATATTTTGCACCAGGTAAAATATTTCAGTTAATGTCAGTGTGAATGGCTGATTAATTTGATCATCTCCCACTCTTACTTACAGTGTTACTTCAGTTCATTGAAATTTGCAGGCATACCTTTATGCACAGCTATCTTAAAGTCCCAGCACAGCATCTTAATCCAACTGAGGTCTTGAATGTGACTGGGTCATTGTTGCACCTCAGTTCTTTTCTTCTTCGGCCATTCTGTTGTAGATTTTGCTGTTTTACTTGGAATATTTGTCCCACTGGAAAACTCAGTCTGGACCAAGCTTTAGCTGTTGGACAGATGGCCTCATATTTGAATCTAGAATACAGAGAGCTCACGGTCAGCTTAATGGCTGCGGTGCCCAGATCCTGTGGCTTCATCACTTCTTCATGTCAGTGTTTGATATTTGACATGAGGTGTTTCTGTTAATATGCTGTGCCAAACGTGCACTATGGGCAATCATCTCTATCTGAAGGACATTGTCCCAGAATGGCCTGGCCCTAAGGGTGTAATTAAATGGAATTTAACTGTATTTAGCTGAAATTCTCTTTCACATTGTACGTCTGTGTACTTTTTGGGGCGTGGGCTGTATTATGGAGTGGCTCCATCTTGTCTAATTTCCAGCTATACTTTAAGTTACTGTAAAAGCCTGAAAAGCCCTGTATCTAAGATGGGGAAATATTGTCTGTTTTTCTGCTAAATTACCAGGATATTATGCAGTAGGTTACTTTAAAATTAATTACGCACTACTTAAATTTACTTACATTTAGGGATGTCAAAGAAAACCGATACTCAGATATTGTTGACACTAAAGTTATTTTCGATTTGATATTAATTTGCAAGAATCAATATAACAGTGTCCTTGTCACCTCCTCCACCTGGCACAGTACTTCAGAGTGCACCATTGCATA